AGAGGGACTCACAGCCGCGCAAACGCTCAACCTTGTACAGGGGGGGCGGGGGGCGAGATGGTCACGCGTTGCCCCCTCGTCCCTGGCGGCCGTAGGCCGCCAGAGGGACGACGCGCTGCGCTGGTGGGCGCTGATGGGCGCGTGGTGTGCGCCGCACAATCCAGCGCGAACAGCCCAGCAAGGCAACCCTCTGCCCCCTCGTCCCTGGGGCGCGCTGCGCTGGTGGGCGCGTGGTGTGCGCCGCATAATCCAGCGCGAACAGCCCAGCAAGGCAACCCTCTGCCCCCTCGTCCCTGGCGGCCTACGGCCGCCAGAGAGACGGCGCGCCACGGCACTGAGATTAGGCACGCGGCAAGAGCACACGAGGAGAGCACACGAGAAGACGTAGAACACAAGAGCAGCCAGGCCAGAAGAACACAGGCCGACCAAACTGGAGCAGAAACGAGCCAAGCCAGGGGAACACAAGACGGCGACGACCTTTCTCGCGTACCTCGCGAAATGAAAGAAGTGGAAGCAGGCGGATGATGGAGGCGCGCGCGGTTTTATCGAAAAGCCGCCACGTGGAGACCGATGAGGCCTCCCGCCTGTGGCCAATCTTTTGGAAGAATATGACGAAGCGAAACCGATAAGGAGAACCGGGAAACCCTTGCGGCGATTTTTGTCGGAGACGTTGCGACGGTCTTCCTCTTTTTTGCTTTGTTAGTATTTTAGAATATTCGAATATTTGCGAATATTTGGAGAATATTTGGGAATATTCGCCGTAAGTTTCAAAGCAGTTTTTTAACTTGGGAGATAGTTTTCGGGTGAATATTTGCAAATAAGATAAAAAACTGCGTATCCGGTTCGTGCCATGCGGGAATCGAACCCGATGCGAGGGCTTGGGCATGCTCGTCGAGTTCTGTGATGAGTTCTCCTCGTGGGCCTATCTGAGCGAGCAGATTTCGACACGCTTCTCATTAAAAAAGAAAGCCTTGGAACTTTAAAGCCGTTTTGCGAGTCCCTTAGCCGTTTCGAATTCGCGAAATGTCCTCCCTGAATGGTTTCGACTTTCGTGCGGGTATCGGTTTCGGGGGGTTTAGTACTCGGCTCCCAGCTGGGAGAGCCAAAAAAATTTGGGAGGTTTTGGGGGGATTGTTTTGCGTAAAATTATTACACGAGTACAATCCTGAATGCCCGCGGGCACTGTGTGAGGGTTTGGGGTTGACTCTGGGAGCAGAGTCAAGTCAAAACCTCCAAAACTGTGCACAAGGGAAAGGACGTCGGTGACAGTTGTTGCCTCGTATTTTTTTGGAAAAGAGTCCACCACAAACCTCTCCAGTTTCCTTTGACTCTGGAGAAGGTGCAGCCAAGGACTGCAAAAATCGGGAAAAAGCCCCCCGTTTGGGGCATGATACGAATCCGCCGGACACTCGCCGCCCATGGCGCTCTCTTCTGGAAAACCCTCACCCTGTTGCGAGTCAAGAACCCCAGGCACCCTCCAAATCCCCGCGCCCCTCCAGGGTCCCCCATCACACATTTGCAGGCTGGCGCGGTGGACTCTGGAGGGGCGCGGGGAGTCCCATGAGACGAAACCAAAAGACAGAAAAACCAAGAGGAAGCAAGTTGCGGAAGCCGCTAAGCGGAGCACTTCCAGAACGAGGAGCCGGCAGTAGAGGCCGTCTCTGTGCAGTTCTTAGCTGACTTGGCGCCATTCTAATGAACCACCTGCAGAAGCACGAGAGGCGCGGCGAGCACGCTACACCGTCGAAACCTAACAAAAAGAGGGGGCGCGAGCCCTTTGGAACTGAAGCGCCAACAGGCCCGGCCTGTTTTGAAAAATGCCAAGAAATTGAATAGGCCCCGCGACCGTTTGCCGTGTTCCAGCTCGCGCGGCCATTTTTGGAAAAAATCTGCCGGCATCTGTTTAGCTTTTTATCAGAAATGCAAACAGTAGAGGGGTCTACTCAATTCCGGCGAAACCCCCGAAAAGTTCCCCGCTGAAGTATTTCAAAAGAGTGCGAACAAAGCCAGCAAACCCCCCCGGCAATCTGCGCACGCACGGCGGCGCGCGTGGGGGATGGCCTGGCCATTTAGAGGCGGCGGCGTGTCTCTCTTCCTTGTAACTAATCCCACCCGGCGCGAGAGCCTCGGGGCGCCGATTGGTCAAAAGTCCAACACTTAACAACATGAAAAGACCCAAGGACGAAGAACCTCGGGCGGACTGCCTCAAGCCTCTCCGGTTTTCTATGGTGAAAAATCTGACCACAAACAGGTGGGGCCTGAATGGAGAAGATTCAACTAAGGACGGCAAAAATCCGGACAAAGTTCAACCCTGACGGGCATGATACGAGTCCGCACCGCAGAACACTCGCCGCCAAATGCGCTCCCTCCTGGAAAACCCCCACCCAGTTGCGAGCCAAGAACCTCGGGCACCCTCCAAATCCCCGCGCCCCTCCAGAATCCCCCAGCACACATCTGCAGACTGGCGCGGTGGACCCTGGAGGGGCGCGGGGAACCACATGAAACGAAACCAAAAGACAAAAAACCAAGAGGAAGCAAGTCGCGAAAGCCGCTAAGCGGGGCACTTCCAGGACGAGGAGGCGGCAATGCGGACCGTTTTTGTGCCTTCGATTTTCTTAGCTTGTCTTTGCCGATAAACGGCGCCAGAGATGAACTCACAGGCAAGGTTCGCAAGCAGTGTCAAGAGTCCTGCCTTTTCGCTACCGGTGCCTGATAGAAGCGAGAAGGTCCGGCTTTTCGTGCAAACTAATGGCAAAAGCGGTCTGCGGTCTTCCTCCCTCAAAAGCGCCGCCGTCTATCGGCCTCTGAGCGTCGGCCAAGGTCTGACTTCAATGGCCCTCAGAGCTCCGGCTTTCTCGCTAGTGGCATCGGATAGAAGCGAGAAAGCCCCAACTTCCGCGGAAACTAATGGCGAAAACCAGTAAGCACTTTTCTCCATTAGGATTATTTGTCCGTAGGACGGTGTAGAGGGTGACCTAAGCCAAACCCCCCTGCCCCCAAGGGTCGCGGTCGCCGTCTATTGAGGGCCACCGGAAAACCCATAGGGGTTGCCTTCCACCCCCCTCAGTTTACCGGAGCCTCTCGCCGATGCCTTCTTGGCCTCCTATAAGGTCACCACTAGCCTCCCGGCAGCTGCGCCCCTCCCCCGCCCCCCCGGCTTCCTTTGCACGTGGACCACTTTAGGGACGCGATCGCCCTCTCGAAAGCCCTACGGGAAACCTCTGCAGGGAAGGCGCTGGCCCTTTGCAGAGATGAGCTTCTCAGGGTTTAGAAACGTCGCAGACTTTGAAACCCTAAAAGTTTCAGACTCGTGAGAAGAGCCGCCACCCTTGGCGCCATCCGTTCCCTTTCTCTTCTGTAGGTCTGATTCTTTCAGCCACCAACGGCTTTCAAAGTCCCGGCGTTCTCGCTACAGGCGTCGGATAGAAGCGAGAAAGCCGCCACTCTGGTGGAAACTAATGTGGAAAACGGACTGCCGCTCTTCTCCATCAGTTTCCCGTAGGACGCTATAGAGGGCGACCTAAGCCAAACCGTAGACCACTAGGGACCCAGCAGGCGGCAGGGGTGGAGACCCCACAGGAGGCCAGGGAGGCAGGAGCGAGAAGGCCGAGGTCCAGGAAACGGAGGGGGGCGGAAAGCCTCCCTAATAGGTTTTCTCATCCGGCTTGGTAAAGGGTGATCTCGACCCGACCCCCCCGCTGCTTGGGTTTGCGACCGCCCTTCCCCGCGGCCAGCGGGTAAGCTACCGGGAAGCGTGTCCCTTTCCCGGGATCTGCTGGCGCCGGGATGCGGGCCCGCACTAGATTCCGCGGCCCCCCGTCTCCCGTTAAGGACGAGGCCGCCCTCTATAGGGTCGCGCGGGAAACTAATGCAGAGAAAACGCTGGCCCTTTCTAAATCTGAAGCAGTCAGGGTTAAAAAAGCTCATTGGTTTTTAAACCCTAAAAGTTTCAGACTCGTGAGAAGAGCCGCCACCAATGGGGGCGCCCTCTCCGTTGGGGCCATCCGTTCCGCTCCCCTTCTGCAAGTCTGGCACTCTCAGGGTTTAAAGGCCGCACGCTCTTGACGGCCAAGGACATTGCGAGCGCGCAGTCGCCCACTGCTTTCAAAGACCCGGCTCTCTCGCTACAAGTGTCGGAGAGGAGCGAAAAAGTCGCACCTTCGTTGGAAACTAATGGGGGAATGGCTTGCCACTTTCCTCCATTAGTTTCCCGTATGCCCCTATAGATGGCGATCCGAGCCAGACCCCGTCTCCCGCACGATGGCCGACCGTTGGGAACCCCGTGGGAAGCCCACGGGGCTTCGCTCCCTTGCCCACCGCGACCGGAAGGACCGAAAGGCCCCGACCTTTGAAGGGTTCCCAAGCTGAACGCCCAAACGGCCGCGGATTTGGCGGGAAGGCCCACGCGCACGGGCCGCCTCTCCCGGTTGCGGGCCCCATGCTCCAAACCCGGCGGCCGGTCTTCGACAAGTCGACGACACAAGCGGACAGCCCTCCGCCTGCTCTCTCCCTAAAAGCCAGGGGCTTTTGCGGGCTTCTGCGCTGTAAACGTGCAGAAGGGCGCGGCTTTGGAGGGAAGGGCCACGGGCCCCGGCCTTCTGGCCCGGTTGCCGGCCTTGTGCTCCAAACCCGGCAGCCGGTCCGCGATAAGTCGACGACACACGCGGACCGCCTCCCGCTTGCTTTCTCCCCAAAATAAAGTCCGGGACTTCTCCGGGCTTCGGCGCTGTGAACGTGCAAAGGGACGGGGCTATGGAGGGAAGAGCCACGAGCCCCGGCCGCCAGGCCCGGTTGCGGTCCTCGTGCTCCAAACCCGGCAGCCGGTCCGCGATGAGTCGCCGACACTCGCGGACCGCCTTCCGCTTGCTTTCTTCCCAAGAAGTCCGGGACTTTTGCGGGCGACTTCGCTGTAAACGTGCAAAGAGGCGCGGCGCTGAAGTAGAAAGTACAACTAAAGCGCTCCTAGTTTTATTTTCTTCAAAATCATCGATGATTTTTACAGGCTATTATATTGACTGAAGATGAGGTCGTGAGCCCTCTTGCAATACTAAAATATAAGGGTCTTCACGCTGATACCTTGTTACAAGCATCAACTTTTACCGTGAAAAAAAGATTAAAAAATGCCTTCGCACGCACTTGTTGCATTTCTTGTCCTGTTGCTTGCTTCCAAAAATGCTTGGGCAAGCTGCTTTGCGGGTGGGCTATCTCTCGAAGAATTGGACGAAGCAGACGCACTGCGCGCAAGCCTCGGAAGCCTTACGCTACAACAAGTACTACAAGAAGGGGAGCAAGAAGTACGACCACAGGGGGCGGCTGCATGGGAGCGGCTGACGACACACAGTTCGTCAACACATGTAGCCCATTCCGGATGGACAACCGTGCAGGAACGTTTACTAAATCCAGAGCAAGAGATTATACCTACTTGGGCTGGAGCACCGCCTGTAGGCTTCCTTACTGTTACGGGAGAATCTTCTGAAGTAGTTGTAGGCTCGATTACTATAATTTTTAGATATGAAGCAGGTCTACTGTAGTCTTTCTATGATGCGTAGTCTAGTCATTGATTGTGCCGGGTTCGTACTTTCAATACCCACCGGCGACCATACCAAAATAGAAAAACTATGTACTTATTTGCTTTCAGGTCAGGTCAATACTCTCGGGGCTCTCTAACTCTAAGAACCCAACTAGCGGCGAATCAATTAGCGGTAAGCGACCGCCTTGGGCCTCAAGCGGGGATAAGTCAGAAGACGAAGCGGACCAAAAAAAAAAAAATCTAAAAAGCAGATCTTGTGCTTCAAGATCGCCTGATGAAGAAGTGGAAAAAACATCAAGAGGCCACTTCTACTCCTCACAGAAAGTAAATGTTACTTCTGCTCCTCAGCTAGTAGACTTCGAAGACCACGTCGTCCACAAGGACTATAGGAGCGAACAAAACCATGACCACATCCCTTCCACGACCCCCGTTGGTGCGGTGTTGTCTGGTACTCGTCTGGGCCGACAGCGTGAAGATTTGTCCACCTCAGTTGGCGCTTCCCCAAAACTCTTTTTTCCTAAACCAGTGTCAGAGCGTCGTACTAGCAGAAGCCCTTCCCCTACTTTGACGGAAAAAGAAATGGGTAATAAGGTGTTGTTGTTGTCGTCTCAGCATCATCGTCATCCAGGTGGCGGAGCACTGCAAGAAGGATCATCTCCTGCGCAAGAAAAAAGAAACTTCTTGGACGAGAGCGCAGTTCCAACAGGACTAGGATCTTTGCGAAGATCATGCGGAAAAAGGTGGGCAAAAGGGGCCTTCTGCGGGAAGAGGAAGAATAAGTTGTTGTAAGAATAATGATAACTACATGTTGGAAAGTAGTGAGATGAAGGAGGGGTGGAAAAATGTACTGCAAAAATTAAAAAAAATTTAAGGCATAGTTATGGATGCGGAAGCTACCCAAGCAACGAGCTAACCTCTTTCGAATGTGCGTGCACTCATTTCAAATTTTTTCAGATGCTAGTTTATTTCTGCTCAAAGAACACCATTCCCTCCATCTCAGGTGGACGAGGTATCCCTTGATCTCGGTCTGGTTTGTGTCTTTGGCGTACTGCTCAAACGATCCTTGTTCTACACTAACTATTTATTGCCAGTAATCCAAATACTGCTGCTACTAGCTGTGTGCGCCTCTCGTATCATGAAACAAACAAGCTCCTCTTAGGTAAGTGCTTGTGTGGGTAAAGGTAAGTGCTGTTCTTGTTTGTGTTTCTTATAAACCGCGCTTCTACTACACACCTACTTGCATCTATCCAAGAGTAATACGCTAATCCTCAGAATTTGAAGTACATAAATACTTTGTGGAAACGACGATTGTCTCTGGTGATGTGACGCGTCGTATGGAAGGTTGTGCTTTCCATTTCGTCACATTCACCTACACAGGGCATAAGAAGCCACGGGGAACACCATTGCATATGCGTGGCATAGGCGTCATCATGGGCCACACGCATATTATGGGATGAACACCAACTCTGTGCATGGCATGATAAAAAGATTTGTGGTCGTGATATTGGGTGATGGCTATTGTTCTTGAAAGCTTGACGTCGTACGGTGCTTCAGAATATTTAGATTTCTTCTGGAGGTCAACGTCTACGACAAGAATATCATGAGATCATATACCACTTGGGTTTACAACTTGCAATATATATTGCGTTTGTCGGTGTATCTGTTTTCACGCTTTGTCTCTTCGATCGGTGTATCTGTTTTCTCGGTGTCTCTGCGCTTTCAGCATAGGACGTTGCAATCCCCTCTAAGCAATCTTTCGTGTCTCAACAACCCTTCACGCACCTGTTTTCCTCTCAATAGAATTTTCCATTTACGTATAAAATGAAAATGGTTCCTTTTACTTAAAAGTCTTATTTTATCGCCGTCCAGCGATCTCCCTATTAGAAGCGAGGCGATGTAAGGTTATCTTTAGTTTATATACCGATTTGTGCTTTTTTCTCTACACCACATTCACCAAAACAAAAACCTTCACTCGCTGTCTACTCGGCTCTTTCGCTACTTAATTAGTCGCCTTCTGTGACTAGTACAGATACGCAAAAAATTTTTTGATCGAGAAGCTTCTATTGATATTACCATTGATTCTTGTGTTTTCGAGGAGTAGACAAGGAAAAAGATGGGCGCTGTCTTCTCGAAAAGCTTGAAATTGGGTCTAAGTCGCGTAAGTGGCGTCAAGCTCGTGAAACTAGGGATTCTCACTGGCGTCGCAGCTTTCATTATGGCCAGGATGCAATTCTCCGTCCAACGGTGTTTGGTGTGGGTAATGAGTTGCATTTTGGAGATAGACAATTTGCATTAGTTCATGTGACAAGTCGCGGCGTTGATGAGTCAGAGTCATGAATTTTCCAAGAATATAAAATTAAAAAGTCTGTTGTAATCTACGCGACCACTATCAATAACACTATTTTTGAGCACTAAATGGTCGTGGACCCTCTAACTCCACGACGCTGCAGAGGAACAGGGAGTTTCTTGAAGCTAGACCGGTTCCGCACAAAGAGGTGAAGCAAAAAGGAGTTATGGAAGAAATTTGATATATAGCCAAGGAATTTATTAATTAAGGTAATTGTGCCTTATTTAAGGCTCAACTTTCAACGGACATTGGGGTTGGTCACTGAGATCGAAGAGGCGACCCCTTAAGAGAACAGGGGGAAATGAAGGGAAAACAAAGGGAGAGGCGTGGGGCCCTTTTCTTTCAGAATCAGTGGCCGCTGACTGCTGCCCTTTATGTCGTGAGTGTAGAAGTGGATGCACTAGACTAGTACTAGACATGATACTTTTACGGACACGGAAGTTGAGGACTCGGTCGTGGGGGTTACGACTTGTCGTGGTAATCTGTAAATTGAGATATTACAAAACAAAAGACTCACTTTCTTGTTGCGGCTCTAAGACAACGAACGATGGTCCGGGACGACAGGCAGGGGGACCAAGCACTCCGATAAAACCAAAACCACCAGCAGCAATTACGGCGGCAATTAACGGGGTCTCGTTCTGAGAGAAGAGTCTCACGACATATTTACTTACTTACATCTCTCTATCTCGACACATTTAATTCTCTCTCATATATGTTACATCTTTCTATCTTCACGAGGACATATTTGATTACATCTCTCTCAAATGTATGTGTATCATCAAAAAGAATCACATGTTATATGATACATCGCTCGACGTTGGTCCAAGTGCAATACGCCTGTAGGATCAATCTAAAATCTTTATCGGCATGTTTGAGCGCTTCATCTCTATTTGTTTTGTGAGGGAAGAAGAACGAGGCTTGAACAACTTCTAATTAGATCACTTATACCCCCCGATGGGGTACACTGCTACTCTTATTCCCAATTGTCCTAGCTCATAACTCGATTCATCCTGCGTGTAGGTGCTATATGCCTGTTGCGGATGCACAGAATAGAATCTCATAGCTCATCTAAAAAAGAACGCGATCCCAGCAAGCTGCCAGGACAAAAGGTGCAGAATTTCCGCAGGAAGAAATACTTTCCGTCACCCGAAGCCAAACAAGGCAGTGGAGGAGTGCAAGAGAAGAACGCGGATAAAGAACCTACATCAGTCACATCCACTTCATCTCCGAGTTCGCCAACGTCCACTGCACTTCCTACTACTCCTTCGAGAGAGAGCAGTAGTCCTTCTCTGAGTTCGATTGCGTCTGCTTCACCTGCTACTACTCCTTCGAAAGAGATCAGTAGTCCTCCTCTGAGTTCGGCTCCATCTACTTTATTTTCTACTCCCGCTCTCGCACTGCATAGCTACCATCCTGGAGGGACGAATGGTGATTCCGCCGCTGCGAATGGCAAGGTCACGGGCGATACAGGTGTTACGATTTCCCTTGAACTCCGTTGATGAAGGGGAGGAGGATACAAGACTATGAGTAGTGACAGCATAGGAGGATAGGAGAGGAAGATAGGGGAATCGAGGATACTAGGAAGTGGAATAGGAGGTGGATAAGCGCAGAAGATAACATCAGAAGTTGTTGTGATAGCACATGCCATACAAATCACTGTGGACTTCTGCATACACAAGACACAGGATAGAACCTGGGAACACAGAGCAAGAATAGGACATGCCTGGTAGTAATAAGGACGTGCGGTGGGGAGGAGAACATCGAAGTAAGAGTACTACTAAATGATGGATTTCAAAATTTGAACAGTGATCTAGAGACTCATAGCCGCATTAGTATGAAAGAACAACTGATAGTACGAAGGAACAACATTTGGGATCATGACTAGTACATCACCTACTATTTTTACGTATTTAGTGAAAAAAATTACACAGAAGCGAACGAAGTGACAACGATTTCAAGCACCTTGGGACAACTTCAACCATTTCAAAAATCATTACCAACATTTACAATAAATCTGATATGAGAACGCTTACAACGAATGAAGAACTGTACAAATCTCTGTGTTATGATTGGCCGCCACGGATCCTCACCTGTAAGATATTATAGGTTTCGGATTATATTATCACTTCATCAGACCACATCTATTTTTGGACTACATGATTGTTTTCAACAACATAAGAACAAGATGTAGAAAATGAGAATGCTAGAAAATGAGAATGTCATTGGGAGCATTGCGCTGAAAAACAATTTGCTCGATTGCTTTCTAAGGGGAACACACTGCTATTATGGAATGGTGTTTCTTCCGCTGTACTAGTACAAATCAATCAGAAAGAGAATCGGTGGATGAAGAATCGGTAGCCATTCTCTCAAAGCAGAGAAAGCCGTCATCGGTTCTGCAACTTCACGCTTGTATATAATGAGTCCTAGTGTATCGGCCGGGTCTTCAATTTCTAGTTGACCTCTGTCGGAATGTGTACGTTTGTCGAAGTGTGGACCTCTCTCAGTTCGACATCCATTGTCCGTAACCTCACTTTCAACAGAGTGACACGTAGCCTCCCTTTCACGACCCAAAATTCCTTAGTTACACGTAGCCTCTTTTTCACGACCCAAAATTCCTTAGTGGCACGTAGCCTCCCTTTCAATGCCCAAAATTCCTTGGTTATACACGACCTTCAAACCCTCGTCCGAAAGTCCTACGTACTAAATCAGAAAGGAGGACTACTACTTTTCGGACGACCACTCCTTTTTGTAGAGTTAGCAATATGCGTTTTGGCACTAGATCAGATTGATGTAGCGACATCTATAGAGCTAGATTTAGCTGGGCTTACAGACTAGAGTGTGAAGCAGTAGAGAACCCTCTATTTCCTCCTTTCATTCATTCTTTGTTCCTTTCTTACTTTTTTTCCTACTTTCTTTCCTTCTCTCTTTCTGACGGTGGTAGCGGTCGTAGCTGAGGTGGTGATGCTGAGCGGTCGCCACTATCTTCGTGGGACGCAGAGATTTCTAATCCCAAAAATAGGGCCATTGACTATCTCTGAGTATTTGTATGCATTGACTATCTCTGAGTATTTGTGTGAGTCCAGTTTTTTGCTGTAATTCTGAATCTAAATCTAAATCTCAGAGATTCAGTGTACAATGATTGACTCGCTAATTTTCCCTAGAGAATGCATTGTGACTGCGGATTATGACACAATTAATTCTGACTGTAGTGGATTAATCCTCCTCAAGTCTAGTGTTGGCCGTATCTTTTTCCTAGCCACGTTGCCGAGCTGTAGACGGGAATGAACCATCATCATCATCATTGTCATCATCGTCATGGAGCAATTGGACCGTCTACAGAGAGGGGCGGAAGGTGTTATGATGTGTATGTGGGTGAGTACTTCCCCGAGGCAGCCGCATCAATGTGAAGCATCGATTTCGCCGAAACTTCTAATTCAGCAGGGCGATGGGGCTGAAACGGGAGCAACGCTGATACAGAAAATAGAAGCGACAGAAACGACAGCAGAAGAGGTAGTGGGCGAAGAGGAGAAGAGGCAGAACAGTGAACGGCTCCCTGTGGAAGAGGAGAAGAAAACAGAGAACGCAGTAGAAGGGGAGAAGAACAATGGACAGGTCGCTGTAGAAGGGGAGAACAATGGACAGGTCGCTGTAGAAGGGGAGAAGAAAACAGCGAACGCAGTAGAAGAGGAAAGGAAAAACGAAAACGCAGTGGGCGAAGGCAAGACGGATACTCTCGCCTTATAGAGAACTGTTGTCACTAATGCGGACTTTTTTTGTTTTTTTTAATAGAGGTTTTTGTTCAGACGAGTATGCCAAATGAGAAATGTCATGTAGTGTGAAGAATCTAATTCACAGACAAACGAAGTCGACGACCAAATGCATTCATTGCATTGAATGCTGGGTTGTACACTAATAATTGATTCATATAAGAAGTAGTCTGTCTATGGTGAGACTTAGCAACGCAACAGTGATGAAAAGGACGATTCTCTCTTTGGCACCGACCACCGAAAAGTGCTACGGGTTTTGACTCTACTAGTAGTACATGTTAGTTTCTAAGTACGATAATTTTTTGATGCTTCTCCAATACATACTTGAAGAAAATGAGTATTGTTCTCACTGGGAGTAGTGAATTTGTGATCTGCTCTTCATCTACAATATCTCACTATTTCTCCTTGTTTTCTCAGTATTCCTCGCAAAATTGAAGGAGCGCGTAGTCTGAGGCAGGCAGCGATCTGAACCCTCGCAGAGTTTCATCATTTTAGAATCGATGGCGCAAAAAAGCCGAGAGTAGTATAGGAGGTTAACGAACTCCCGCCATCGCCGGGCAGCGTCCTGGAAACAGTGTGGGCCATACTCTTTCAGTACACCGCCCGCCATAACCCCCCGCGAAAAACTTGTAATTGTGATTGTTGATGTTGGGAGTCCTACCTTCCCGTTGAGCATGTGTTCTGGTTGTACAGAGTGCTCCTATCACTTTCACGTGCACTAGCAGATGGTCTTACATCACTCGCTTTCTTGCTGTCGGATCAAATCCTCTACGTGTCGGTCCTGTCAGTGTTCTTTAGTCCCTACCTGCTGCTGTTCTGAGTGTCAGTCTGTGTTTCTGTATTGTGTCACGTTTCTCAAGGACACCATACTTCTTTCTAACAAAAATCTATAGTTCTCTTTTCATCTCAGTTATAAGTGTGCAGAATTCTTATACGAGAGCGAGTATATTCATTTTATTCATTTTTTTCATCAACTCTAAATTTCGATACTGCATACTAAGTCAGGAGCATACAAAAGGTCAAGATTCGAGATCTTTCTATTACTTAGATATAAGTGTGAAGCGAAATCAAAATCATCATCATGGATGCAGTTGCTATTGCATTTACGTGTTTTTTGAGTCGTTGCAGCATGCTCAACAGCAGTGTCGAAGCGGTCTTCGAATCGTGAAACTGTAGACTGTTGTCTGACAGCAGAATTCGAACGGAGGCGACTACGTTTCAGCACGATGAAGAGGCTCTCAAACATGGCGCGACCACGGCGCGAAGGATTCAACCTTGTTTCGAGGAAAAGTTCTCATCTCGACGCTAGAGCAGCTTCTTCTACTCCCCTAAGTAGTAGTAGATGCATGACCGTGTACCGAAGACTTGGCGGACAGCTCCTCTGCTTCTTGTTCTTCACGCAGTTGCTCTTGGTAGACTTGATCCTCTTCGGAGATGCAGGCGGCGTCCTCTTCGTCCATGCTCGAGTGTGTTGGGGTGCTTACGTTTGTCCGGCCATGCGAATGCAGGACGAACCTTATAGGCTAGTCGTCAATATTCCCCCTGCGGGTAAGGCAAGGCCACCACCTCCGCTCTCAGGGGATGAACACGAAAAATTATGGACGATGAACAGGAGGAGCATTATAGATGTTGAGGAAGAGTGAAAGACATGATAGATGAAAGGCATCATAGATGTTGAGGAAGAGGAATTAGTTTTTTTAGTGAAAACGAAATAGAATTAGAAATGAATGGAGATGGAACTAGGGACATCCTAAGAACGTGTTGAGGAGGAATTACTTAGAAATAGTTTTCTCGTGTTGAGGAGGAATTAGAATCAGTTTTTTCAGTGAAAACGAAATAGAAGTGAATGAAGAAGATGGAACTATGGACATGATAGAGGTGGAGTAGTTGTTTTCTATCAAAGGTTGGAAGACACGACTGTGATCACTCGTGAAGCCAGGACTGTGATCACTCGTTGAGGAGTCAGTTCTTCTGGTGTCAAATTCACATGAAGACTGAAGATCACCGCGGTAAGAAGAAGAGACATTTTCGAGGTTCTAAGAAAAGAGAAGCCTGCACCCGGTACGTTAACAGCAGAACGAAGGCGACAGATAGCAAATGCTATAGAGGAAGACTACGGCAGCACCATCCCAGAATTCTCTGTTTTATGGCGATGAAGGAGTTTAAACTAGGTATAGATTTAGATAGATATCGCAGATGGTGTCGACACTTTTGCTTTACTAGATATAAATAGATTTAGATATCTTTGCAGGTGATGGCTTCTATCTGTTTCGTCTTGCCGGTAGTCTAGGATGACTACTTCAGACGCGAATGAATGAATGCAGGTGATGCCTTCTCCATTCTACTGCTACTGCTCGATTGACTCGGACTGCATCCTTCTGACTTGGATGAGACACACTACGTAGTCACGGCGCTTGGCGTGGGAGAACCTGCTGTCATCCTTCTAGTGCCACTACCCCAACACCAATCATGCTCATCAACACAAGCCCTTCTTCTAATTTGAGGCACCTTCTTGCGATCCAAGTCGATTATGAAGTTGACAGGCGTACGAGAATTCGAAGTCAATGATGCGACACCCGAAATATTGAAGAGCAGATTATTGACTGTAGAAGGCAAGCAGCTCAGTGGAGGCATTGAAGCAGCCAGTGTCGCCTATCCGACCGATGATGCAGCACTGATGCGAGGAATCAATGTGGGAGGAAATGGGAAGATTCAGGTGATAAATAGCATGTTTTCACTTGGGTTCTGAGTAGCTTGTTTTGACTTGGGTTCTTTCGGTCAGCTTATCGCGCGTTCTCTCTCAGCATGAAAATCAAGGCTCACCATAATAGAGACAGATACATTTTCACCAAGTATAGTATGGTCAGGAAGATACGTTCAGGTTCCGAAGCCGAAATTTTTTGCGATGGAGCATGTAAAGTCCACGGTGCAAGCTTCGGCAGGAAGGCGTGGCTTGCTAGGTTGCGTGGCTCCAGACGTGATAACGATGTATCAAAATTTTCAACACGTCCTCGCCGAGAAGAGCTACGCCTTGCCTCTCACGCGACAAACTAACGTCACTTATGCCGATATGGATTTTAACATTTCAGAAGTAAGGAGCCTTTTTCTTGGTACATGATAACTCGTACGCCGATACGTACGATGGATCTCCATAAGAAGTAAGGATCTCCAACTCCATATACGACAGGAGTCTATGTCTTCTAATCCCTCAGGATAGACATCTAGGGATGCACAGAATACTAGAATTATTTCCTTTTTTATGAAAGGAAAAAGTGCACTCACACTCAAGAAACTGGCTAGGATTCAAGTAGGAAAGTAGCTACTTCCTTGAGTGTGAGTGCACTTTTTCTTTTCATATTTTTCCTTCTCTACGTAAGGCTCCACTGGGATCGGTCTCTAATCTCATGGTTGGGGCACCTGTAGCCGGATCCAAACCACCATGAGATTAGAGACCATAGAAGATAGTAACTTGAGTTGAAAGCTGTGTCGGTCCGGGGTCCTTGCGTGATCACTCCGCGCACATCTTGCCAAGTGGGGCGAGGTGGCAAAGCAGCGACATTGAACGCCATCACCAGCGGGCGCGTACTAGCATCAGGATGCTGCGGGAGTCGGTCTCTAATCTCATGGTGGTTTCGATCCGGCTACAGGTGCGTGGACGGGCGATCCGCATAGCATGCGCTTCATGGGTGGCGAAAACGATGATGACTGCGGAAAGCCAGGGTGCAATGCGGGAGTCCTAAAGCAATTCTCGAGATGGTGGTTTGGAGGACAAGGGAATCAGCAGTTAAGCTGTTGATGATAGTTTTACTTCGGTGCCTTGTTTTTTGATAGAAGTACTAGAGAAGAAGATATCTTCAGAATAGAAGAGATATAGCTCACTACTACAGGGACCACGAAAGAGGAGTTCATGATCTTAGAAGCTTGCTCAAAAGCTTATCAGCGAAGACGGCCTTTTTGAGCTCAGTGTTTGTGGATGAATGTTGCAACCTTGAAAGCGCTAATGAATCAAGGACAGCACCACGACACGTATTCTGGCCCTCCATCTACTGGAACGGGGAGTGGGCCTCTGTATGCAGCTCAAACTCAGTCTAGTTTTTCGTCTGGCACGTCAACGCGTGGCTACGCGTCGCCGCCGGCTGCTATGACACCCTCGGGACCTGGATTAAGGCAGTGTGCACAAATGAAGGCCCGTGGGGCTCGTTGAGAAGGATCCACAACCTAACCTAACCTCTAAAAAAGGGTCCATCGTCTTTTTGGGGAGGATTTTTTAGACTATGTCAGCTTGTTTTCAATCTCTCACATAGAAATTGTCCATCTTCTTCACAGGAATGATTTATTCCAAATTAATAATCGCCTTTTCAAGAGGAAACTTTCCGAAAGAAGCTTAGCTTAGTACGAATGAATCTCGAAAGACGTCGGTTGGATCTGGGTCCTTAAACAGTCAGCCTCTAATCCAATCTGCTTCCAGTCCGTATGGCGGCAGCCAACACAGCACGCCGCCTTCTCTACGCCCTCTGGCTTCGCCAGCAGGTGACGACAGTGCGCATCAGGTGGATTCGCTACAGCCTCTACCTCCAGGCCAAGACCTCCGCGAACTATATTAAGGGTGTCCACGACTTTGCGTACTGCACTACCATTTTTGACTTGTATTCGAATAGATTCAGGGAAGTCGTAGGCCCAACCCGAATCGACTAGCGTCGTCACCATCGTCACCATTGTCATCATCATCATCATCATCATCATCATCATCACGATCAGGAAAGAAGATGTTCCGAAGAATGCAATAGCGCAGCCTCTAACGACATCCCGATCGCCATGACGTGATCAAGTGCATACGGGATGTCTCTTTGACGGCTGTAAACTTGGAACTCGCGAACATCGACACGAAAAAGCCAAAAGACCAACTACTCAAGTTATGGAGTGTCCTATAGTTAGTATAACGAACCTCTTGACTCTATAGTACTTGTCGTTTCGCAACTTGTCGTTTAGCAACTTGTGAATATTTGATTACATTTCTTCGAGAGATTTAGTTGTCAAAATTATGATGCAGAATTATGTAATTCGCAGCATCTTCTTGTTTTTGCCAGATTTTGTCCAATTAGGAGGTGGAAACCCGTTTCCCAGAAATGCTGCAATGAACAACTACCTTCCTTGATAGGTACTACATGAAGCACTACACTTTTTTCAATCTTTGCACCACTTATACGTCGAGCACTACTCTTTTGCCCAGTACTTACCTACGTCAAGCACTACTCTTTTGCCCACTACACCTTTGCAGTACTTATACCTCAAGCACTACTCTTTTGCCCAGTACTTACCTACGTCAAGCACTACTCTTTTGCCCACTACAGTTCTTTCTAAGGGGAGAAATCCGTGCGCCTGGTCTCGTCGCGAATCTCCCACCAGAAGCTGCTGAAGATTTCGTACGTACAGGAGATTGGAGTCTTGTAGATTGGCACTATGGAGGCTTTGTGCCGTCACGACTCGGAATGATTAAGGCTTCATGTAGTAGAGATCCTGTAGCCCTCCATCTTCAGATACTAGTCTACATCTTGGAGGAGCTGTCCTTTCCTAAAAGGAGTCCTTTATCTTCAGATACTAGTACATCTTGGAGGAGCTGTAATCCATCCCCAGAAGCATCTCGAAGCTATCCCAAAAGGGGAAAGCACTATTGTCCCAAAATGGGGAAATAGAGCGGCCGAGAAGAGTCTCAAGACGGATTAATAGGGTGTTGAGCTCTAATATGAGTGGCGCAGGTAGTCCGACTTTGATCATGTCGAATCGGGGTAGTGGTGTCGCGACACCAAACAATGGCCCTGGTGGGCATGTGCAGTTTATGAGATGATTGTGAGAGCGAGTATGATAAATTTTCCTCATAGATACTGTTATTGATTTTAAAAGCTTTGCTATTCTCGAAGAAGCATCCTACAATCCTTCTGCTTCTCCTCCTCTTTCATCTCATCCTATCTCTCGAGTGGCGTTGCAACACCTTCTGAGGAACCTATGTCACGCTGTAGTACAGAGTTCTCACGTGGGAGCTCACCTATGCTCGGAGGAGGGGGTGCGGGATATGGTTAAGGAAAATGTTAAAAGTTTTTATCATTGCTGCAAGAAATATCAGAGTATTACTCAGTAAGATCATGGACAACTACCCAGGGACAACTAGCGTCAAAGTTTCTTTATCATGCGGCCTCTTCAAATGCCAAGCTGCGGTCGCGGATGGATAACGCACCACATCAAACTTAATAATCCTACATCTGGGGAACATCTTTGATATGGAAAACCGAAGATCGATGGAAAATGGCGTAAAGATACAACTTACACCCTTCTAATACCGCATCTTCCTCGGTGCAGGTCAACGGCATGATGCTGAGGATGGCGATGTCCTTATCCAGCGGTTGCGCATCAACACTATTCCCAACGCTATCCGTGGAGATCCTTGGCTCTTAGAGCTGTATTTAAGGCTTGCGTTGATCCATCTAGAGTCTACTTCTTGCGAGGGAAGAGATGATGTATGTGTGCACCCCGATACAAGGGAAATGGTGAGGCATCTACTTGCGGGATCCCTAGTCCCTACGGAGGTGATGAATCTTTCAGGGTGGAAATTTATTACCCCTACGGAGGCTGATGACTTTCTAACGTTTGGGGATTTGCCGATGCTAGTGGCATCGCCACTGTTCTGCGCGGGTCCAGGAGGTGTACTCAGTTCTGGTGTCCTCAGTTCTGGTATAACTTCCGTTCCTGCTCCCTTATTCCAGCGTCGATCCAGTAGTGCGATGTCGATGTCACGGATGAGCTACGTCTCGGAGCAGGAGGAGGAGGATGATGAGATGACAGGGTCCTCGTTGGAGTTCCCTACTTATACTCTTACGGGTGAGGGTGATACCACATTGCGTCCTCCACTTACTACAAATCCTTGGCCTGGCTTCTATCAGCTTACTAGAAAATGATAGGCTGCCTTCTAAGGGTGTTGTTCTTTTGAATGCAATGTCGCAACCTGTAATACTCAGGACGCTGACGAGTGGGAAATGCAAGTCGAGGCTACGAAGCTGGTCTTTGCCAATTCTCCGCAGACTGAAAAAGCATGGACCAGATTCATACGAGCAGCGTACTGTGGTGGTGCAGGAATTGGAGCCCTTCTTGGAAGCGTGGGAATGTTATGACGATTTATTTTCTTTAGAAGTATTGTTTTGTACTTTGCGTTCTCGCTTTGTTTCTTGATAACACGCTGGTCGTCGGAGCTGTTTTTTGCCGCCACTCGGCATGTCGATCTAGATGGGATAAGACGATGATGACTATGATGGGCTCGTTGTTTTCACTTGCGTCTACCTCTTAGCTACTTATTTGATGAGCCTTCTAAGGTTGATACTTTTACGCTCCTACTACATTTAATAAATAAGTACATAGACGAGACTGATATCTTCTAACCATCGGCATCGCACCAGTGCAGCCAAAGGTTGCTTCATCAGTGCCTTTACCATCTCCAAGAGCAGGATCGACGCCGCCAAGATCTGGTAGTAAAACCCCTGGAGGCCACGCACATGGGAAACATCAAGCAAATAACGTCGATTCTGGAGGTGGTAACATCAACCACATCGTGAGTAGTACAACAACACCAATACAATCGCCTGCAGCAGCCACATTAAGGCTAGTTTAATTCACTATCCCATGTGGGTACTAGTATGCTGAGGCGAGTCCCATCCTTTGATTCCTTGTAGGCTAGGGGAAAGAAACTTCGTTCTAGGGGGGAAGCAGAGGCGGGCATCTTCCATCTCCCTCAGCCAAGGATTGTAGTGAACGAAAACTAGCGCTAACAGTAGACTCAGGCCTATCTCGTGCGTTGTCGAAAGAGCCGAAGTCTCTCTTTGCGCATGACTTGTTATATGAATTGGAAGAAAACTATGGGAAGTGTCAGGGCCACTACATCTGCGAGACCGAGGCAAGTGATGTAGAGCAACTCTACGGCTTACAGCCTGGATCTGGCACCGGAACCTACATGGAAAAGATGTTTTTCCAAATACAAATACCAGAGACAGTGGCAGTGGGACCAAGGTACTAATTTTCAGCGAACTTGGCAATTATAGCCCAGGCAATCGAAGATTTTTAGTGGTGCTTGTCCTTGTGCTGCCTTGTTTGAAAAAATCATGAGGAAACTGTAGGAGGCATGCAAGACAAATTTGAGACTCGCTCTCGCATTCGAATAATGCAGGATCTCATGCGGTTCATAGTAACTTCTCGAACGCACCACCACCACACACAGACGCGAAGGCGGCAGTGTACATGCCACTGCGCAGGAGAAGATGGGCTCCAGTCTCGAAGCAGGCTCTTATATGGAGCTAGAACTTGCCAAGCCCCAGGATGAAAACCGGTATCCTTTAGGGTGGCAGCAACTGCAACCAGAGGCGTGGCCTCTGATCCAAGATATTGTTGGGGATGCAGCGCCACCACTCAAGGTGGACGCTCAAGCTTGGAAAAACGGTCAGAGTATCGCTCAGGCATCGTGTTAAGGCTAGTTGTGGATTCGGATAGTACTTAGTCGATATTGGAGCTTGGGTAGTAGAATTCGGATGCATGGTGGTTCGGTAGTTTCTTTTGTTAGTTTTTGTTTTCTAGATGGGCCGCAAATCCTCTGAACAGATGGAAACCTTAGCAAGTTACAGAAAAGAATTATTACAGTCTGCAGTTGGAATCTTCGACTATCTGGAATTCTTCTTCTAATAGACTGTCAATAACGGAACAGATGCCTTGACGTCCGGGATGGCCAGTCTGAGCCTTGGCGGTGGCAGATCTTCAGCGACACGGTTCTCACAGGAGATGCGACGTTCCAGAACTGCACCTACTATCGTCGCTCCGTCAGCTTCATCGCAGGCTTGTCCAAAGTCAATTTCTTCGTCTACCAGCATAACTACAGGATCATCAGGTGCCGGACCGAATCCAAACGTGCGATTACCCCAACTAGCAGTGGACATGCAAAGAGGGATAGTGATAGACGAGGTCGCTCTAGATGAAGCAGGTAATGCGGGAGCTGTAGTCCGGACAGCTGGCATGGTCATGCCTTTTGAGGACCCTAAACCTCTTAAATTTGTTGAGGGGAAAAGTTTGATGAAAGAACAAGGACTAGAGGGCGTTTTTGCGGATCAACAAGGTCCTACTGCTGGAATCGAGAGACTGCAGCAAAGTTTGATCCGTAATACCAGGACTACGTGGGTCCCTAAAAGTCCCAACAAAAGATTCCTTTACTGTGCCAATCGCGACGTCGTTCTGGTCTCACCTGGAATTATAGGCGGTTTCGCTGGTGTCTTTCCTCTGCAGGGGCCGCAGAAAATAGCGGTAACCCCACCGATAACGGGTTATAACGGGGGAAATTTGATCGCGTGGAGGCAAAGAAGCAAGGCATCCGCTGGCAGAGAGCCAAGCTTGACCAGAAATACAACGAGGACCTCTTCCTCTACTAGGGTCACAGGTTCTGGATCACAGTCTAGTACGCTTTCTGGAGGGGCAAGAAGAAGCAGTAGTGTGACTAAAGGAACATCAGTATCCACCTCTCCTCTGGGTAGAAGTTCTACCCCATTCATCAAGCCCGCTGGAGGACAGCCTCAAGTTCATACTATCAGCTTGTATGAGGAGGATGAAGAAATGGAGGGAGAAGCTACAAGAACTGGCATTGGAAGTACTGCAGGAGCACCAGAACGCTACAACATTATGCCCACAACTGGTATTGGAAGTACTGCAGGAGCACCAGAACGCTACAACATTATGTCCACCTCCCCTTCGTCGGGTTCACCTGCAGATGGTGACTATGACGAGGCGCATCAACCTACAACCCCTTCTGGCGGTGCATTCACAGACGATTTAATTCCCGATAGCACAGCTAGTGGCCGCCTACGAGCTAGAATGTATCAGGGACGCGGTCGAGCGAGGTCAGTGCCATCAAAAAGGCTCAATAATTATGGATGTTGCTTTTTGCATCTATGAGACTATCTTCTAGGCTGCGCCTTTTGGGTCCCCTGAAACAAGTCAGTGTACTATTTAAGTTAAACGGGCGGACGAGCCTCTTTATAAGTAAGTTAAATAAAGGGCGGAGCTTCTACAAGTTATTGTCTGCCCTTAGAAGGGAGAAAAAACAAGATTCATAATGATCCAGCCATGGCCAGTTCGGATAAGTTTCGGGCACAAATGAAGATCAAACAAGAAGCGCCGATGCTTCAGTGTCGACGTCAAGTGGAAAGGAACTACTGTGCTGGCAGATTTAGATGCGGCTTGGAGCGGGTGGATCCAGTTCTTGCCACGGATGCAGATAATGCGTTCTTTATGGCTTCAGAGCTATTTCTTTGTCAGAATACGACTCTTCATCTTTGATTTACGGGCACTACTAACAGTGTCATCAGGGCGGATTAACACATAGATACATCTTTGAGATTACACTCAGTTTCTTGATATTCTAAGGTCTACACGCGTAGCTAGTTTACTTTGCGTCAATTTTTTTTTTCTTCTAATCTCCTAGGTGGTTCAGGTGCGAACGAGGATGATCCCTCCAATCAATTGGGCTGGGACTCGAAGGAGAGGAGCTATGTTCGGGTCCCGAGAGCCCACGATGGCTCTTTTCAGGCGACATTTGACATCGTGATACCGGAATACAAAAAGATACCCTCTTCTGGGGGGTCAGAGTTATGGCTCACGACAGTAGAGGCTGATGATATTGACACATGAAATTGTAGTTGATGTTCACGAGCAGTTTTATGCCGTCGTTGAACCTATCACACCTTGCTGGCAGTATAAGGGAACTGTCTGAGACGCCGTGCTCTAACACCGCATGGAACAGCGGAAGACGACGGAAGCAATGTGTTGCAACAAGTAGAATTTGCATCTATTAAGGCTTCCCCTAGCGGCCCATCTTCAGACAGTACATCTTGGGGCAACTGTTCAAAATAACAGGGGAAAAATGACTTTCAAAGTGGCGACTTTCAAAGTGGGAGATTAGCATTAGGGGGAGCTCTAAAGCTAGTGCGCGATTACAGGTTGGGAAGTTTTTGGCTCTAGAAATACAGCCGCAGCCGGAGAACTCGTGGACGCCACAAGCACCAGATGCCAAGACTAAATTAAGGCTCAGCTTTCAATGGTCATTGGGGTTGGTCACTGGCGACCCCTTGAGAGAACAGGGGAAAAGGAAGGGAAAGGGGAGAGCTTTGAAGGGAGTCTCTTCCGTTCAGCATCAGTGACCATTGAGTGCTGAGCTTTAACTAAAGCTGCGTTGGCGGCATCGAAAGAACAGGGCGCAATTCATGTTAAGGGAGCGAACCTAGTTTTGCTGAAGACGACTAGAATTTGGCTTCTAAGTGATTTGTACAGATTAAGATTTGATGTTTCTGTATGTTGAGATTGACATATTACGTTGTCCTTGTGTCCAGGATGATCCTCTTCAGATCGCGCTTTGGCGGTGTCCAGTCTCAGGTTGGTGCCACGCTCCCTGACTGTGTCGAGAGAAGTTGCATAGTAAGTCATGAAAGCGACGTGAGTCAAAAAGATTTACTAACCAAACAACGGTTTATAAGTATAAAATATTTCTACTAAGAGGACGCGTAACCCCGTGGGGATGTTGTTAGAGCGCAGGAAAAAGCGGCTACAGCGTGTGCGCACGAGCAAGATGCATGCCCGTTTGGATGACATTCGGATCGCAGTCATAGCCTCTACAACGCCGCAACGGATCTCCAGTCAGCTCTTAACGACAAGTCAGGACCTTAGAGAGGTCTTACCGGATGGAGCTTTGCAGGAAATGTATCAGTTAAGGCTGGACGCAGTGATTGTAACCATGGTCATATCCAGAGCGCTTACTTAACCACCTGAGTAGTTAGCATAATTCACGGATTGAAATTTAAGCTGAAGAGCAAAAGCGAACAATTGTAGTGAAGCCCCGAGGACTGAAGACCGGAGGACATACTGGCTTTTACATTAGAGAGCGACACAAGAACTTGACCTGCGCAGGAGTACGTAGTTCCCTCTATTTCCTCATTCGTTCCCAGGAATAGAAAAAATTTCTCTAACTCCCCACTCCGAGCAAGTGTTATCAGCGCCACGAGCCAGAAATTCCCTGAGGCCAGAGATTCAAACTCTGATGGACTCCGACTCGTCCTTCCGATCAGCGAAACCGCGTAGTTGGCTGAAGTGTGAGTCTCCGGTCGAGGCAGAGATAGGCGGGAAGATTTTGATTATGGAAGGTTGAGGTATGTGTTATTTGATTCTCATTCATAGGAGGTCATGTACTTATATAATTGCCCTTCTTGCTTGTCTAGAATTATGGGAAGAAGATCGATGACGAACCACCTCTGTACAGAGAATTTGAGGTCAATCTATCTACAGAAGCACTCGTCCTCTAACCTAACTACGATGATGTTCCGCAAAGAGTTTAAAGCGAGATTGAAAGCCGACACTGAATTGAGCTGCTACAAGATCATAGATAGGCGAGTCTTCCCCACGTGGGAGTCGTACAGTGACGTAGCACCAATTGCGACCGGGAAAGGGATACCAAAGAGAAATAATGTCGGTGGCGGGAAAGACCAGTTGTCGGGAGACGGTCAAGACGGCTTAGGTAGGACGTCATCCGAGCGTAGAGGAAGTGGTCGAGGATCAAAGGAAAGTAGTGCTTCTACTTCAGCCGGTGAATCTTCTGGAAAAACTTCGAGTCGCGGATTGTCAAAAGCCAGTAGTACAGCATCTTCTAGCACATCCTCTGTAGGTGCTGAGTTGCCTGGTGTTGCCAGTTCTATGGCAACAGCAATGAGTGAAGATGCTCCTTCCACAGAAGCAGCAAGTGGTCCCTCATTGTTTTCCGCCTTTAGCAGAAGCATCACGAAAAGGGACAGAACAGGGAGTAAAAGCACTTCTTCTTTGCCGACAATCACGGTAGAACAGCTGAATGATGTGGATTCAGCTGGAGGTGGGAAAAAGTCTTCACGCATAGAACCAGGAGTGCCATCAACAGGTTCGACGCAGCAGCAAGAACTACGTTCTTTGTCCAAATCCGCGAGTACTCCCGCAATCAAAGATGGGCCAGCGGCAGCCGCGAAGGCGCCCTCAGTGTCCTTTGGTGTAGCCGAGACCTATTGGTGGCGACAGCATAGTGGTAGTGTTAAGGCTTCCCCCAATCCATCTTCGGAAGCCTCCTACAGAGACTTTCCAAGGGGAAGAGACACCTAGGACGCATCTCGAGAGGGCTAACAGTGACAGCGCTAATACTGACAGTTCCTGTGCTATGACACCCAAGAGCAGCGGTAGACTTGATGTAGAGCAAGTAGAACATAAAAACACTCTTGAAGAAAAGGATGAGATGTTGGAACAACGCGAGAGTGGGCATGCACGACAAGCGCAAGAGGATGGAGACAACAGTAGTGGTATTAAGGCTACCGCTCCTGAAGCATATCGAGTGTCATCTTCTTAGTGTCATCTTCTTAGTGTCATATCCTTAGTGTCATATCCTTAGTGTCATATCCTTAGTGTCATATCCTTAGTGTCATATCCTTAGTGTCATATCCTTAGTGTCCTCATATCCTTGGCCTCTTTTTCGAGGGGGAAAAAGAAGTATCCTCCAAGGATCACATGACTTTCAAAGAGGAAGATGCGACGCGGTAGCTCTAATAGTAGAGGAGGAGATACTACAGGACCTACAGGGCCTTCAGGTTTCTCCGCGTTACGAAATAAGTGGCGCGCATTGAGTTCCGATAGAAGCTCTACGTGTTCGACAGACTGCTCGTCGGAAAACTTAGGATTAAGGCTACAGTAAATCTTAGGCCGACTGCCGAATAGATTCACAGCCTCAAGGCTACAGTAAATGCATCTTGGTCCTCCCCTTTTTCAACATCTTGGTCCTCCCGTTTTTCAACAGGGAATATACGTGAACTACCAGGATGTATGTTGGCCAAGATGTGGCATTTATGTAAGTTCTAATAGGAGCCGCATTAGATCATGAGCAGACTAGACGACCGTCTGGTCTAGGACGAAGCTGGAGCGGCGGCTTGGGCAGTGGTGTGGCAACTAAGATCAAAGAAGATACATCGTGGTTAGACCCGGAAGCTACAAGTTCATCGCAGAGCTCACCCTCGGCCGATGATGATACTGGTGTTGCTGTTTATGGCCTGTTCTTTTGGATAGTAAGTACCTAATTGTAGTCTCACTATATTTCATCCTTGTAAGTAGTCTAATTGTAATCGAAATTTCTACCTTGTAGTGTCGCTATGCTTCTTGATATTCTAAGGTCTACTTACATGCCTGCCTAGATGAATGTTGTAGTGGTTTCTCGTGATTTCTTTGGTTAAGTCATGGAGTCAAATCTCTCTGCTTCAGCTGGGCATGCCGTCATGAACTTGTAGTTGCATTTCTTTCCACTAGGAGTCGCAAGTGATGAATCAAAACGACCGCATAAGAAGGCAGGAAACAAAACGACACAAGACTGCTCCAGACTTCAACAGAGAGGCTAGAGGCGCGCATGGTCCTGCGATGCTCTTCACCAAAGGCACAAAGCGACCACCTCTTCTAACATTCCCCCACCAGTACTGGTACTCAGCAACAGCGTGTGATGAGGGACTTTCTGCAAATCGCGGCTGATCTAGTTAAGGCTCAGTACAATTCATTTCTACGAAGCATTTCTCCCAAGTACGTCTACGAACCATTTCATAGTCTGCGAACCCAAGTTTGGGAGAAATGCTAAAAGTGCAGGCAAGAAGTGAATGGCGTTGCGCTCTAATCTAAATGGCGATGGCGATGGCTGTAAGCCCACCTCGGGCCAACAGGGCTCTTCCGGCAAAGGATGCTTCCTTGGCCCGCACAAAATCTGGAGACAGAATTTGCGCAAGACTTTCCCGCGAGGCGCCACTAGTAGTAGTGAAGACATTAAGGCAGCTTCTCCTAATTCATTCGTCTTGATGAATTAGGAGAAGCTGCCTTAATGTCTTCGCTACTATTAAAGCTCAGCTTTCAATGGTCATTGGGGTTGGTCACTGGCGACCCCTTGAGGAAAGATGGGGGGAAAAGGAAGGGAAAGGGGAGAGCTTTGAAGGGAGTCTCTTCCGTTCAGCATCAGTGACCATTGAATGCTGAGCTTTAATAGTAGTGAAGACATCAAGGCAGCTTCTCCTGATTCATCTTCGGAAGCATCTCGGGGGCCCTTGAAAGGGGAGAACGGTCAGTCTCGGAATGCTTTTCAAGATGGATTAGGGTGGGCTCTAAGGAAAGCTTCACCGAGGATGACCCACCGCTTTTCGGCCAAGAGGAGTGGCGCAGGAAAAAGAGACTCAAGGAACTAAGAAAGAATGCTGGACTTGAGGGAAGTCAAGTAGTCGTGGGTGGAGAAGGATTTTAATAGCGGAGGCGACTCCAGTAGTCCTTATCTATCTCTCTGTTTAGTCTGCTTTTAAGCTGTTGGACGTAGTATGAGTTATCACGGCTGTTCTAGAGTAGTTGATAGCTTTAGCTTTCTGTAGTTCACTTGAGTTTCCTGCTCCTTTTCAGTCTTTCTATACCTTTCTGTTTGTGTCTGTGAAATGTTTGCTTTCTCTGCGCCCACCGCTGCTGGTGCGTCGAACTAATCGAAAAATTTGTAATTGTAAAGGGGCATAAGGAGTGAACAAGTAGGTGGCCTTGTTAAGGAGTGTCTGGGGAAGTGACTCCAGTAGGCTATTAATAGCGGAGGCGACTCCAGTAGTCCTTAAGGGGCATGATAAGGAGAAGGATTTTGATAGAGGTGAGACTATATGAGGGCTCGACTTCATACAATCTTGCACTGAGGAGTGAAGATAGAGCAGTCGCTAACAGAAGCTACACTTTCAGATAACAGGATACGTTCTACGGTGATCCTCGGAAGTTCTTTCCTTGATTATTTGATTCAAAAATGTCCGTGAATCTTCAAATGATTTCGATATGTATTTTTACTACACCAAACTACATAGCAATATCTTATAGAAAATACGACCGTCAATACAATCGATTCAGTATTGAATTAAGTTTCGCAAAAAAAGGTCCTCAAGCTGGCATGCAATTTTTGAGAATATAGTTTTGTTAATCTTGGTGTAGTCGCACTGGATTCACGAGCATGATAAGATGTAGTTGCAGTGATGTAGCAACAAAGCTCTGGAGGTCGTGTCTTGATCTATTGGACTTATTTCGTTCGATGAGATATGAATGTTACTTCTTGTGGTTTGTAAGTATAATGTTATGACAAGAAAAGTGCACTCATCCTCCGGAAGTTAGCTAGTTTTCCGGTTAAGTTCTAGCTAATTCCTTGAGTAGGTGTACACTTTTTCCTTTCATAAATGTTGTTCTGAAATTATAGATTTCTGATGAATCATGGCTCATGTGGGTGGGCTGAGCTCGTCATCTCGTCACCATACAGGACACAATTATATCTATCTCAGCCATCCCGGAGTCTCCGCCTGAACACAATTAGATCTATCTCAGTCTGTGTCACTGGCTTACTTATTGTAGTAGAAGTAAAAGCGTATAGAGTTAGATTGTCAGACTACGTCTATCAAGAGAAGTTTCTACGTCGTGTAAGTGGTTCTTATGGTTTCGTCAATTGATTGAGGTTCAAGAATTTTCTTAGCAACACTAAGACTACAGAGATCCAGACGAGAACGTCTGTCTCTACAACAATGATTCAAATCAGAAACATCGATTGATTCTGCATGACCAAAAACTCCTATGAGATCGAGATTGGATATTTTATCAACTATGAAGATACGTCGCGGCCTCCCTGATAGAGGTCTAAGTATGATGAGATTTGTGTGCTGATACGTAGTCAGTGTGTGCTTTTCCCATCCTTTCTCCTGTGACAAGGTTGCATCGTGGAAGGGTGTTTTATCTTAGAATCATCATGGAAACTCATAGATACAAGAAGGAACCAATTGCATCATCACATTAGCCTCTTTGTTTTTCTCACTATACACAGAAGACGCGATCTCGCCATCACGTTGTTTCCCTGTGGGTCTGAAAATCTTACAACCCTTAGTACATCTTGACCATCTAGGAGAAGTACGTTTTCACTTCATCTGCTCATACACGATGGAGTTTCTGTACCTACTTTCTTATTGTTCTATTGTAAATTGAGCATCTACTTTGACTTTCTAGTATGAATGAAGACAATATCATGTCGTTGACCGTCGACCCATGAGGCACATTCACATAGCTCAAAAAAAAACATAGCTTAGTATAGACGTATCTTGAGGTGAGGGAGCATTCACATAGCTCAAAACATAGCGTATTGGTATGTATTATGCGTATCGTATCTAAACAAGGTAGGTTTTGTGATCACAATTCAAATAAGTGATAAAATGATAGATTATCATTGTTTGTGCTAACTGCAAAACATGAAACCCTGCATCTGAGTTGTAGTTGTCCTTCTATTGTAAACGGTTGTTTGTGTGTTTTTCTAACAAGCGTTAGAACTACAACACATAGATAGTAGGTCAGAAGAACTACGGCAAGAACTAGAAAGTGCAGGCATATTAAGATTGAAAAGCAACTGAAACCGCCATTGGGAACGGTATCAGTGAACCTGTGCCGTATGGTCGAACCTGCATGTTCATCAGTTTTTTCTCCACAACAGCAGAGTAGTGACCACACAGAGTAGTGACCTCAAGATTTCAACGCTCAACGTGTGCGTGGAAAAACTAGCTTGACCAACTACCAAAAGTTGAGAAACCGCCAACAAAGTCGTGATGGAAAGACTAGATTGAAGATGTAGAGGGTCAACAGCAGTGAAAAGATTCTATCAAGGGTCGGCAACATCAACATTCTAAAGTATTTACAGTATCTATTTACGTATACCTGCATCTTCATCTTCACTATGAGACCACCCGACGCCATCAAGGATATACCAAAAATGCTGTTCTTCGTTGCTCTTCTTGGAGTCGTTGCCTCAGTGGTCTCTGCATCCGCAGAAACTGGGCAGCCCGGAACAATGTGCGACAGCATCGTTACGGCTCAATACAATTCATACCTACCACGGGACCTGTTATTTCTTTCTTAGGATCATTCTCATTGGGGGAAATGCAGGCGAGAAGTGAACTGTTTGGAGCTCTAAAATTGGCTGTGATCAGCCACGCTTTTCAAATGGGTACGAATTTCGGCTTATGAATCTCTTCTGGGCGTCGGATGCAGCCTATGTGGACCAGCCGCCTGCCTCCACCTGCGAGCTTGTTCATATTAAGGCTTCCCCTAATCCATGTTAAGAAGCATCTTGAAGCTCCCCTATAAGGGGAGAGAAACACCAAGATGGGCACACTTCAAGATGGATTTCTTTTTCTGCCAGGCCGTCTAATAGTGGCAACTTCCCGAGTTCATGGCCACAGGATAAAGCTTTCAACATTTCGTACATGAGCAGATTTTGGAGGAAAGTGCAGCGCGGTATTCGAGCGCCTGAATTTGCGCAGACAGCGGCGCTGCCCAGCATGCGACTGGTGTACAGCGACGCAATGTTGGTGGACTTGTCGCGCGAAAACGCACCAGATGACGAAGTGGCTTTTTTTGAGCACGATGACGCAGATGTTGAGCGAGGCAAGAAGGGTGAACTTGAATTCACAGGAGAAGCTCAGAAGATGAGAAATAGTACCTCGTTACACGCAGGCGAGCCATTTGGTGTAGACCATCTCGTGTTTGGCAGTTACGGCAGTCTTTTTTCAAAGACACTGCTCGCGAAATCGCTGGGAAAGGAGGACACGTGTCTGCATTCTCTTCAGACGCTAGCTGAAGGTGCTTTGTCGGCGAGCAGCCGAGTAGAGCAGCACTGTGGCATGGCAGCACCTTTGAGCGTGGATAGCGGGGACAGCTACCCAGCAGTGCAGGCGCAGCTTTGTCGAGAACAACGTCGAGAACTTAAGCAAAGAGCAACAACGCGGTCCGGGCATCATTTGCTTTTCAGCATACTCGGCGCCACCTTCTATTCTTCCGGTCATGCGGAGATAGCCTTGAGTGCTAGTGCGGCAGACGAAACTTGTGTCCTAGTGGACGGCCAGCGCACCTTTTCCTCGATTCCGATTCTTACCTATCTCAACTGGGCTTGCGAAGTGGAGTCGAGAAACGGAAGAACGTGGCGCGTACCTGCTGCAGTGGTAAGCTATAGCAGTGCGGTCGCGCTCGTGAACTGTAAGGTTCCTTCATCAACAGATGTCTTAGGAGATTCCAACAACATCCAAAAAGCAGACGACTACGTGACTCTAAGTCTCCGTACACGAGGTGGCGGCGTCGACTGGAAAATTCACGTTCCCATGTGTACGACTACTCGCACAAGAAGCAGCAGTAGTCAGAAACAAGCAGAGAGAGATCAGCATGAGCATGAGCCTCATCTTCAGAGGACGATTTCACAACGAGCTTCTGTAGAGAGCAATCCAGCAAGGGGGGCTACAAGTAGAGCTACAGATGTGAATATTCGTGGTTATCCACGGACAATGGCAGTGTGCTCCCAAGTCTTGTACACTCTGGACAACGAGCGCGGACGCAGTTTACTGCGACAGTGGCTAGCGTACCACCGGCTCATCGGCGTGGGCCACTTCTATCTCTACGATCGTGACGGCTCGGTAGCTCCCTTCGTCGAGGAGGAACGAGCACGAACAATCTCGTCTCAAAACGACTCGAGTGAAAGTAATAGAGAGTTTGACATCACCTACTTCCCCAACTTCTCAAGGCACTTTCTGTCTGAACCGCAGCATCTTGTACAGCAAGAAAACAAGCCTGGATTACTTAAGGCTTATACTAATCCATGTTGAGAACAAGCATCTTTCGTGGGTCTGTTCCATAAGTGGAAAAGAGCCCCAAAATGATTCCCTGATTCCCAAAATGGACGACTAGCGCTAAACTGTCTTCTCATGCAGCCCCAGACGCTGCAGCAGCAGCCCATTGCATCTTTGCGAATCGTGGCATCTCGGAGTTCGTCGCCATGCTTCATTCTCCGGATGAGTACTTGTCCAACTCTCGTGGCCTGCGCCACATAGAGCACGTCCTTGCAGTTTTACGACAACAACGAGTCGACGTCTGTGACGCGTCGCAAGTGTATTTCGTGAACCAGACTAGGCATTTCAATACTGAAGCTAATCCGACTGCAAGTTCGGCAACTACCTTACTTGGCCAATACACACAGCGAGCCAATAAGCCCTTACTGCAGCCGCGTGGATGGGGATCACTATGGCTACAACAAATCCATCTTGCCAAGCATCTCGATTCTGTTTCTCAAGGGAAAATATCGGGTAGCAAGATGCTCTTCGTAAAATGGATTTGCGCTAGACCAGGTCTAAGACCAGGTCAGCACGCAAACAGCTTTCTGAACCGTTTTGGCAGTCCTATACTGCGTCCAGAGGCTGTGTCAGAATTGGTGGCTGCGCACTATCCGAGGCCAAATAATCGCTTTTGGCCCGCGCGAGTGTTGGACGAAGTCCCCCAACACTTCCTGCGCACAAATCACTACGGTCATGCATTCTCAAATTATGAGTCGTTTCCACCAAATTTCATTCCCCGGACGAAACCATCCTTGGCTCTTTTGCTGGTGGAAAGGAAGCCAGGGATGTTCATCTGAGGGATGTAATTCCGGAACCTCTAAGCAAAGCGAAATCCTCTGGACCCAACGGACGCTCTAGTTGAGGACACCAGTATTTTGTGGGCGGAAGAAAATGTGCAACAAGAGGCATTTCAATATCAGTTGATGGGGGTTCATTCTTAGGAAATAAGGTACTGCTGCACCTAAGGTAAAGCGAGTGTTCAAACCCAAATCTGAGAGTTCTTGAAAGATGCCGTTCCTTGTTAGCAAGCTATTCTTGGCGGTGGCTGTGTAACATGCAAGAGTGAACTTCTCAGCATGAGGTCGTTTTTCTGGCGCCGGCATCCAAAGAACAGGGGAGAAATTGTTCTTTCTTTTTGTCACCAAAAGAGCATGGCCCGTTGATGCGCGATGCCGATTTCCGACATCGTCACACGACTAGAGCGTGCCAGATTTGTAGGCGCCGCGGCTCCACGTGCCAGAGCATTGGGAGAATAGTCCAAACGATACGAAATGATTTCCAAGAAAAGTAGACCCTGTCGTCACGAAGATGCATCATGGTGTGTCTGAAGAACTCTGCAGCAACTAGAGCCGCGAAAGGACGAATGTTGGGTTCCTCGTGGTGGCTATCGCTATTCTCAGTTTTATCCCTTGCCGAAGGAGCAGCGGTTTCAACGAACCATGTCGCGACGGAAGCCGCCAGAAGTAGGGGTGCTTCACCAGGTCTCGGGCGCAGCATCGAAGCAGAGGTGAACGGTGCAAGGGGGAGCGGTACAGTAGAAGCAAGTGCGAGTTTGAGCGAAATCGTAGCTCCGCAACAGCACGTCGAAAGAGAAGGCAGAAAGAGGAGTGAATCTTCTACGGCGTTGTCCTCCTCAGATGACAAAACAGTCACCGCATCTTCTAGTACAACTGCTGCAGGGATGAAACTAGTACAAGAGCGTGGCGTCTTGACAACTAGTACAACAGACAAACAAGAACAGCATCCTCTTCCCACAGATGAAGATGCCGCAACTACAGACGAGCCATCTTCCTGTTATTGTGGCCTGAAATGGGTACTGACCCGGGTCGACATGGAACATATGAAGGATATCCGTAGTGTGAAAGACTACCCGCGGATCCCGAGACGGTCTCTAATGCGGCCTAAATTTGGAACGCCTTTAGATGTGCCGAAAAAGAGCGACTCGGTGGAAAAAAGACTGGAGAGGAAGTTGAGAGATTACGGCTGTTCGGATTTGTTCTAGGTTCTTAGTATCTGTATCATGTAGTAGGTCTGGAGCAAGGATCCGGTCATGTTCCATAAATGTACAAACAAAAGTGAATCTTATTCCAAGCTTGAACTTGAACTTGAAGTCCACCATGAACTTGAAGTCACCATGTGAATTGAGGTTGCTTCTTCAGCTATAGTTTTCTCCTCACTGTAACTGGAACCCCCCCCATTCTTTTACATCCCAGAAGATCCCGTGTTTCCCCTACTCTCACTCTCCACATTCTTAAAGAGTGACTCTTTCATATCCCAGACCGACTTGCTATGGCTCTGGAGAACAGTGACAGGTTCGGGCCTTGTGACTGGTATTTCGAACCCGACCCGCAGAATCTTAGCATGATGATTCCATTCCTAAAATACGCCCACTCGTGTCCTGCCGATATCGCTTTCTTCCTAGCAGAATGCGCAAAAAATGAGGTGCACTATCTGCATAATGTGCTTTATGAAGGAGGTGCATTATCTGCATAGTGTGCTTTTGCTTTTTGTCGGGGAGCCAACTACTAGAGGCTCGCCTGCGTGTCTTGTGGGGCTTTATGAGTACCCAAAAGTCCTATGTATAATGTGTTTTTCATGGAGACGTCGTCAGAAAGTTTGATTTTGAAGCTCCGACTTCTCGCTGATCCTTGTTCCCCACATTTACACACTCATCTCTACTACCTTTCCCCCCACTCGCGTCACTACTGCCTTTCTTCTAACTCCCACTAGACTCCGCCATCGAGCATTTGGCTGCAGCTGGTGTCGAATGCTACCAGAAAACCGTCTATGAGACTGTCTTGCCCGCGATGGAAATCCTTCTAAACCAAGAGTCTGATATAGAATTCATGGCCACTGGGAGGAATAGCGTCTTACAATTTTATGGCTCATATTGATTGTTCATCTCCGCAGATCATCTTGCTCTGTTTGTTTCTGCGGTACTGGGAGTTGGAGAGATATAAGTGCGCGCAGGCTTGCGAGGCTTCTAACTACGGCGAGGAAATGGCCCAAAACCTCAAAAGGCTGCCGGGGTCAAGTTACGACAGCGCCGCCAAGGTGTGCGGGCTGGTAGCGGTCCAAGTTGCTCGGGTAAACACGGCGGCCGGCGCTGGAAATAACTGGCACGCGACCAAGAGCGACGGGAGCGGCGACATCGCAGGAGACTACGCGACCAAGGGGGCCGAGAACAGCGGCGACGCGTGGGGGACCATGCAGGTGGCCACTGGCGTCGGCAACACGGGCACCGAAGACGCGCTGACTAGCCCGCCCGAGTTCCTCAAGGAGCTGCCAAGGGGGGCGGCCGTTCTAGTGGTCGGCCCAAGCGCAACGCTGGCGCGCTTCTTTAAAACAAACAAGGAAGACAGGAGGCTAGGCCTGGGCCACATCTGCAGGATGCAAATGGGTAAAAAGTTCGACGAAACTGGTCCGGCGGCCTTGGGCAGGCTGTGCGCTGCAACCACACCAGCAGCAGAAGGGAGCAGCGAAAACAGTGCAAAGCGCCACGAGGGCAAGGAGTTCCGGGCAGCGGTAGAGCAAGCAACGGAAGGCCTGGAGATGGGGGGGCAACTGGCTAAACTTCTCAACGGTGTGGGAGAAAAAACGGCACGTCAGCAGAGTTTTCTTATCTCACGCCGCCAGAATTTTTTTCGCTCAAGCCGCCAGAGTGTTGCGCTCTCACGTCAGCAGGGTTTTCTTATCTCACGCCGCCAGAATTTTTTTCGCTCAAGCCGCCAGAATGTAGATGGCTGGGAAGAGGGTGACGCTCGAACAAGCAGCCGCCGCACTTGCAAGCATCCACTTCGCCGCTTCAAAGGCCTCGGACTTGGCGGCCGTAACGGCAAAAAAGAAAGGGAGGAGCGCGCCGGCCCAGCTTGTGGCACGTTCAACCATGCCAGGAGGCTACAGGGACTTCGCGCGCGGCGAAGAAGTGGACCAGGCAGCGCGCCGCCGTGTCGCGGAGCTGGCCGAACAGGAGAACCCCGAAAGCAGTGCGGGGGGGCCGTCTTTGCTTGTTGCTCGTCGGTGCGTGTCCATGGGCTACCGCGATCGCGCTCGCGGGGAGGAGGTAGACAAAGCAGCGCGCCGACGCGTGAAGGAGCTCGAAAAGCAGGCGCGCGCCGCCAAGGCAGCCGGGGGGAGCAACAACAGCGAAAGCGAAAGCGCAAGCGAGCGGAGCAGGGGCAGGGGCAGCACTGGAGAGGCTGGCGAGCAAGGGCGCAACACCAAAGCAGCAGGGAGGGGCGCCAAGGGAAAAAGCACAAGCGAAAGGGGCGGGGGCCCCGGAGAGGACAAAGCCGAAGAAAGGGAACCAAAGAGGAGAAAGCAACAAAAAGCAGAAGCCTGAGGGCCTAGGGTTAAGGACTAGGACCTTCCTGGGGGGTGTTACACTAGCGCACGCCCCCCGTTTTCCTCGCGGCTGTTGTTATTCACCTACTGGCTGCCTGTACGTCTATGCTGTATTTTCTATTTTCTAAAAAGTCAGACCGTGTCAGCGCGTCAGTATCGTCGTGCATTATCATAAATTCACTAACTCGTGAATGGGTGGGTGAGTGAATGAGCGAGTGAGTGATTGCATCAAATTGCAAGAATTGCATCATTTTAGGCTCTAACAGTTCCCTCCCTTTCCTTGGGTGACGCTTTCTGACCTGAAAAAGTGGGTCTTAGGGTTACGAGTGGATAAAATTCTGCGATTGAATTCTCACGCCAGGAAGTGGTTTTTAGGCGGGCAAAGTGTGAAAGCAGTGAAGAAACTGATGGAAGCAGAGAAACAGAACAGTTACTCTTCAGGCGAGACGGAATTGAAGAAGAATCAAGAAAGTACTAGAGCAGTTTCAAGTATGGTGACGGAGTCAGCGGACGATGATGCTGACGAGGGTAAAGCGGCTACGAATATGATAAAAGTCCCATCTGGCGATGATGTTGTCGGAAATATGTTTGAGTGGCTTAGTCCTAAAAATGGGAAAGGGGCAGACGAAGACTATGCTTCTCATACCACTTCTACCAGTAGTACAGGGGCAGATGCAGTTGCAGACTATGCTTCTTTGAGTAGAGGTAGTACTCAACATAGTACTCCTACCCTTGCTACAAAGAATACCCCCAGAACTAGTGGCTTTATAATCGACCGTGAGTCCAATGAGCTAGCTGCAAAATTGCGTTTCTTATTGCCTGACCGATTCCGCTTTGCATTGTTGGGTCTGGCTAGAAGCTCCAGCTTGCAAATCAACCTAGATGGCGATGTAACTATGCGTCAATGTCCTGTAGTGGAGCCTGAAAATAATGATGTGCGGGTTGATCAGCATAGGGGGAGAAAATCTCCAATCCTACAACTCACCGCTGGAGTGGGGCATAAAGCTACAGCGTCGACGGCTACCGCTTCTACTCTTTCTCCACGAGACGAGGTAGCGGTCAGAGATGTAATTGCTTCCAATATCGAGGTGTTGCCGCAGAACCTCTTGTATGAAGGTGTTGTCCAGGACGAGCACGAAAATCCAAAATTAGGAGAAGCAGCTCCGTTAATCTGTGTCGTGCCTTTAAGATGGCCAGCGGACGCAGCGATTAGGCAGAGGATTCTGGCAACTTGGGGATCGCCCAAACGGCCAGGCGGTTGTGATCGACTGTTGTTTTTTGCGGCGTTGCCCAGTTGGGAATACAGGGATAAGGTTCGCGTAGATGTTAGCCGAGTGACTGAGCTGTTTGAGAAAGAGGACACGCGTATCGCGATCACGGCACAAGGCCTATGGCGCGAATTGCGTCGTTTTAGGGAGTTATTTGCGACGGAAGAAGAGTATGCACTGAAGCAGGCTGAAATAGTGGAGGAGATCTATGCATCGAAAACCGCCTATAATGGGGATTCATCTAGTGGAGGAAGCGGTAAGATAAAACGGCTGTTGAAGATGGAAAATGGCGAAAGGGTGTTGGGGGCTTATGTTGAGAACGTGGATGAAGACCTGGAGATTAAGCAGGGTAAGAAAATTTCTGACACTCCCGAGAACAAGATGGAACTTGCCGACGAAGACGGAGATGGCGATTCCCTCACTGACAAAAACTTACTTAGAGCTTATCACGCGGACCCGATCACCGGTGGGCAAGTTGTCTTTAACTACGCAGTGGATGAGGATGTCATGGAGAATGTGAAGGATATAGTGTCTGCTGAAGTAGATGTTAGTAGAGGAGAACTACAAGGATCTAGTGCCACTTCTGCGGCAAACAACACCAGCGATCCCGATGGTGATGCAAACCACGACGACCATGAAGAAGCTTTCGCCCAAGTTTCTCAGATCCACAGGACTGGCAAACTTCGCCTAGTCTCGAAAGCTTACCTACCTCCTAAGGAAATAAGGGAACGACTAGCGGCTGAGCGACGGAATTCAACTACGTTTTGGGCAGGGGAGAAGCGGAGAAACTTATTCGATATGGTATGTTAAGGCTCACTCATATTCATCTTGAGCGGCATCTTTGGCGTCCTTTTGAAGGGGAAAACGGGTCAAAGATGACCTTCAAGAGGGGCATTTGGCAGGTCTAAGCATGGAACGCGCGAGACGTTTTCCGGAAGCAATATCACCCAAACCTGCCAGAAGACGTAGTAGATTTGCGGAAATTTTTCCCAGAAGATGTGCCGCCAGATCTGCGGAAGTCGTGGTCTAGTATACTAAGGAATGGCACTACAACTTCTACAAGTTCTATGAGCAGTAGTGCAAGTGGTTCGTCTACGAGCGGATCCCTTCTCGCAGATAATGACTCAACACCTACTGATGAATCAACAAAAACAGCATTAAGTCTATCTAGCAGTGCTGCAACGCCTAGGAGCACAAGGAACTTGAACGCTGCAATCGAGAAAAAGGGCAAGATGCTAGTACAGAAGGACCACACGACGGCTCAAATCTTCGAGCCGTCTCTTTCAGAATTTGCGCCAGACAGTGCATTGGGAGAGGCAGATGGCGGTAGTACTAGCGCTGCTGTCCTGGCTGTTCTGGCGCGTGTCTCTGGTAGCAAACGGGGTGATGGAGCTGATGGTTCGGATATAGGAGAGACAAAAACTAGAAAAGCTACTCCTGAGAGGACTGAGACCTCTGCTGATCAAGAACGAGATCCTCGATCATCTCCATCAGTTTCACCATCCCGTGAACACCAGCCACTCAGGCAAAACCCGAAGATCGTGGTAAATGCTCAGGCGAAGATGTTTCTCATGTACGTTTATCTGGCCAAGTTTATGCCGTCTAGCAGTTGGATCTGTCGCATTGATGCGGATGCCTATTTCGTGCCCCAAAACTTTCGAAAACTCCTACGGGAAAACGGAGGAGCCCTGGGCGATCCTGGCAAAAGAGCTCACTATTTCGGCAGTACGGCTTACCACATAAGCACGCGTGGTGGAGTGCCGTACAACGATGGAGGGCCCGGGATCTGCTTTTCGGTGTATGCCCTCAAATTAAGGGTTCCAAGTTGACCTATCAACCAAGGGTGCCTCTCTATCCCTTGTTATTTATAGTAGGAAAGCTGGTGCCATAGATAGGCGACCTCCCCCTTGCTATAAAGTAGGAAAGCTGGTGCCATACATATGCGACCTACTAGATGGGGAACTTAGACCACCAAGCAGATATGGTGCAGGAAAGGGAGGAAAAACTGTGCCGTAGGACACAACTAATACATTTAGAACAAGGAGGACATTTATCTACTTCGATATGGCTATGCGTTGTTCTTATCTACGCCAACTTTCAGGCCCTAATCAAACGTCTCTCGAAATACCTCGCGAAAGTCCGAGTCAGTCGGCGCAGAGCTAAATGGGACTTCCCACCAGAGCGAAACGGTCAACAGCTGGCCAGCAATGAGCTGTGTCGAGCTTATTTCTCTGGGCAATACGAAGACGAATTGTTGGGCGCATGCTTCGGTGAGTTGCGAATCCGACCTGATAAATTGGTATGAAAATATAAGGGATTGAGGTAGGTTGACCTGATAAATTGGTATGAAAATATAAGGGATTGAGGTAGGTTGACCTGATAAATTGGTATGAAAATATAAGGGATTGAGGTAGGTTGACCTGATAAATTGGTATGAAAATATAAGGGATTGAGGTAGGTTGACCTGATAAATTGGTATGAAAATATAAGGGATTGAGGTAGGTTGACCTGATAAATTGGTATGAAAGTCGGGGATTGAGGTAGGTTGACCTGATAAGTTGGTATGAGAATAAAAGGGATTGAGGTCGTAGGTTGACCTGCTAAATTGGTATGAGAATAAAAGTGATTGAGGTCGTAGGTTGACCTGATAAATTGGTATAAGAATAAAAGGGATTGAGGTAGGTTGACCTGATAAATTGGTATGAGAATAAAAGGGATTGAGGTAGGTTGACCTGATAAATTGGTATGAAAGTAGGGGATTGAGGTAGGTTGGCCTGCTAAATTGGTATGAATAAAGGGGACTGAGATTTGTTGGTGGCAGAGGACCCCTGTTGGTTTATTCTCGTTTTTGATCTACTGAAGTACACAGGAATGGGAGGAAGGACTACTCACTGCAGGCATTGCATTTACCTCTTGCTAGGCACATTCATTCACTCACTCACTCACTCATACGTAGGCTGGTAGATATTTCCAAAACGCCCTCCACATTGGGTCAGTTATCCACTCTAACCCCTGCCGTCCTCGACGCTTTCGGTCGTGACAAATTCACTATTGCTAGAGGCGTTAGTGCCGCTAAAGCCGTCAGAATGCCGAGATATCCAGCCGCCACGTTCGTCCACGGAATGATAGGCGATCGAAGGATAGACCTAGAACAAGCAAGGGACGGAGGTTCAGAGCAAGAGAGACAAGACTTCTATGGAGACTTGTGGGAAGAATACGGAAGGGAATGGGTGGAAGAGGAAGATTCTGGTACGAGTGCTGAAGCAAGAGGTGATGGTGAAGCAGGAGGTGCTATTGGAGGAGGAGATGATGGCGAAGCACTTGATGAAGACACTACTGATGAGGCAGATGTTGTAAATGAAGTTCAACATGTCGGGAAGGGGAACGGAGTTTTAAGCAGTGAGCAGACCACAACAGCGTCATCTGGTGGAGACCAGCATGGCAAAAATTATATACAACTTAGCAACGTTCGTCTCGGTGAAGCTTCAACTTCTCAAAGAAGGGAGACTGCAACAGCAATTCCGTTTGGGGCCTATCTCCCAAGATGGAGCTACGTGAAGGGCCGTACGCATCACCACATTCATTGCAGTGGACGGAAACATGGGAGAAAAGGCGAAGTAATCCGTTCCTCCCTCGATCTCGTCCGACCTCTTACCGTTAAGGCAACCAAGACAGCATCCTCAGTAGAGCCAAGATCCTTGGATCTTCTTTTTGAAAAAGAAGCGCCACGAAAGAAGTGCCTCTCAAGAAAGATGCAACTGATGCAGCTCTAACTTCGGCGCTCCTCCAGGCACGCGTGGGTTCCCAGAATTCGCTCATTCGGACCATACGGTCAGCTTTCACGGGTTTAAAAACTTGACGCATTTGTGGCATGTCCATGTTGAGGTCCTTGGGCGGAAGGGGCGGAAGAGAACTACAGAAGTATTTAAGGAAGATAGCTGAATCAATATTGAGATAATGCTAGAAGTGATACTGTCTGTGCTGTCTTCGTAGAGAAGATGGCTGGGGAGATGAAGAAATGAGGTCACTGGGTAGAAGAGGTTAGTGGGCGGGGAGGAGAGGAAATAATGATAATGTCCATGCTGTCTTTGTAGAGAGGGTGGCTGGGGAAGATCCCTCTTCTCCTCTTCTTCCATGGTCTTCGGGAGAGGAGGGTAAAGTTTTAGATGAATCAGGTTTGACACTATTTAGATTTAGTTTTAGAAGTGGCTAAGGTATATTCAAGTGGAAAACAATCACAATACACACAATGGACACAATACACACAATACAAGGAAACTTACACCAACTCGTTTCAGAACCACGCAAATGCCTTTACTGGGGAACAATTGGATGCTGCAATACATGGAACAAACAACTGGATGTTGAGGCCACGATGCCCTCAGCCCATCCACCCCTCCGCATTCAGTTGTACGTTTGATGCGCATTTTGGTTTCCTAAAGAATCTGTCGTGAGAGCAATCCTTGATCTGAGAGACCTATGTTGAGAATTTTGACGAAAGCACGAGAACACATCTTATTTGTATCTGCCTAAAAATGGATCGATCATTGAAGCGCTGTCCTCAGAAGAATGACACGAAAAAGGTTCTGTCCTCAAGAAAAAAGAGTAGATGGGTTCTTAGATGGTACTATTAGACCAGGCAATAATGAGAAGTTTATTTCCATGACAGAATCTTCAAAGCACATAAGTAGAAGCACAACAACATGAACGCGCACTATTAAATGCCTGCAAACTACAACATGGGAGCCGAACAACAACAAGAGGGGGACTCAGATCCGTGATGAGTAAAAAAATGAACATGCGTGATTAAATTACTGCAAACATCAACATGGGAGCCGAACAACAGGAGCAGGGTGACTTAGGTCCTAGTAAGGATGATCCCCAGGATGATGGGGATCATTCTAAGCATGAAACCTTCCCTAGACCAGGCGTGGCGGAAGACGGCGATGCGAACGCTGAGGAGGGCTCCGGATCGTCGTCTTTAAGCACAGTTTTTTTACCAAGAAGGATTCGTTTTCTGGAACAAGAGTGTTCTAAATGAATCTTTCTTATGATTTAAGAAACTCAATTATGTTGAATTTTGAATTCGGACTTCGGTTCCGCTGTTGATGGATTGTGGCCACGACCACCGTCTGATTATTTACTACGACCTCTGACCGGTTGCAGCAGCGCTTTGTAGATTAGTACTAGAGTAGTAAATAAAAGTCAAGCCTTCCATTCATACAACTGCACAGATTCTTATGTGTTGTGTTAGATTGTATTGTGTTAGATTGCAATGATTATTTACTACGACTATGGATAGTTCTAATTATATCAGGCGAAGACTCATCAAGCTCCGCGTCCTCAAGCAGTGGATCCTCGTCATCCTCGAAGGAAACTACGACGAGCAGCGGCTCTGGTGGTAGATAATAACTGTAGAACTGTAGATATTCCGAATATTATTGATAGTACTCTTGGGTCTACTGCAATTGCATTTAGCCCCTGAGGAAAACACTACTATGAGTAACGACATACCGAGCAACTCCTTCATTTGGCTGGGGGAAAACACTACTAAGCAACTATACACCGAACTAGAAGCAAGTAGGAGGGGTCGACCGACCTCAGAAAGAGAACTACTCCTGAATTAGGGGTTAGCACTTCTTTTTGTACTTTACAAGAACTGGGGATCACATTATAGTACAGCTGTTGTTGTATCCTTGTATTCTAGTAGCGTCTTCCCAGTTTTCTCGCACCTATAGAAGATACTAAAATCCTTCTCACTTTTAGTCTTCTTTACGAGGAATTCAATATGGAGTGGAAAAATTTTGTCTAAACATTTATATCGTTGGAAGTCAGTTGTAGAGCATAAGTGACTAAAATTATGAAAAGTTCTGAAAGTTCTGACAATTAGAAATTACAAGTCATGTTGTCGTGGTCAACAACATCGTAAAGGTGATAATTTTCAACCTGTGTCAAAACAACTTCGCACCACAGCAGCCAACCATGTCCGTCTCTTTCCTGGACCCGACCTAATGCTAAACCTAACTAAAAACCTAATTAACTAAACTAACCGAAATTGAATTAACCTAAACTAACTAAACTGAACTAACCTCAACTGACTAAACTAGCCAAACCTAAAGTAACCGCTACAGGTGACCCGAGTCGTACCCTAGCAATTGTTCCTCCATTGGCATCCGAAGACCCAGCTTCGAGTTCCGAAGAAGAAGATGCAGCCACAAAACTGCAAGTTGCAGACCTATTTGTTATGACAGTTGGTAAATGAGTGAGTGAATGAACAATGGATTAGTTTTTGCGAAATGGATTAGTTTTTGCGATGTATTTTCTTCAAGGACTACATTGGAGCACTTTCATTACATACGTTCTTAGGGAATGGATGACTTTTGAGAAAAAGTCTTTAAGACTTATCTACTTATACTCACTAATACGAGTACTATTAGTGAGCAGTAAAGATTAGAATTAGAAAATCATGATGATGATGATGATGATGATGATGCATGACAGTGAGAAGACCGCGTGCTCACGAAGCAGCTGGTATGCCACCGTTTGTCTCCATCTTTGTTTCGGTTATTTCTTCCTACTTTGTCCTACCCTTCCTTTGGTGGCTCTGCTGTGGCTCGAGTCCTCGGTTGATAGAGTAGTCTCCTCCAAAGCTCGGCTATCCATCGAATTAGCCCACTCGCTGGAGCCGACACGGTCTTCTTGCTCCCCCGGTAAGTAAGTTTTGTATATGGATTAATTAAGTAGTTGAATGGGAGGCGGCATGTAGTCCTATGGAAAAAAAAAAAACGACGCAGATCTTGTGCGAGTAATGAATGAATGAATGAGTGAGTGAGTGAGTGCGTGAATGTTTCCGTTAATATTTCTTCTTACTTCTGGAGTATGAGAAGACTCTAACTTCACTTTCCTTGGCGCGATACCACGTCCCGACGAGCTCCTGGCGCTTTATGCAAGGATCTTTCTTGCATCAAACGGCGACGACAACGCTCAGATTGCCGAGATGAAACGAAATTTGCAGTTAGGGGGTTATAGTTTAGCTTCTGTAATACAATAGGCTCTCAACAGTTTCTATAATTCATTGAACTAGTTCAATAGTTCAATAGTTCAACTTCGTTCAATAGTTCAACTTGACGGTGACTTGTGACGTTGAGGCTTTATGAGAGAAGGTGGCGGTGATTTATGAAAGATCGTATCAGGATTGAACTTGTTCATGACACTCTTCCTGTAGGGGCATCCATGTGGTTGACAAGATGCTTTGTGAGCCTGCAGTTAGCTTCATCTTTCAGGTGAGTTCTTTGCCCATTGAAGGATCAGTTCTCCTCTCGGGTAGATCAGCTCTCCTGCTCTCGGAAAATATACGGTCCTAATTGTCCCATTTTCATGCTCTCTCGAAAAAACGTACGAGGATTATGTCAAGTTCTTAGTGCTGAAGCTTGAGTTCCCGAGGGATGTTGTGCCTTCCGATGCTGTCAACGACCTGTGGGAACTACACATTAGCGATGCAGAGAATTACGCTAAGGCCTCTTCACCTTCTGTCGCGTTGTGCGTAAATATACTTACTATTGCGCGTAAGTTGTATATTTATATCAGAGGAATACTCCTCGATTTTACCTATCACTTTGGAGCCATATCTCCTCTTAGAAAGCAGTCCAGTAGGTCTACTGGAATTCAATTGCATACGTTTTCAAGAAGTGCTTAGTATATCAGATGGTTCGTAGTGAGGTACTTAGTATATCAAATCGATCCAAATGCTTGATTTTTAAGTTTGACCGATAGAAATCGCAATGGGCGTTGCTTTTCGTAGAATTCATTTTCCTAGCTTCCATATATCTTCTGCGGTAGAACGGTAGTTCATCTGTAGCTCTGCACCATGTATGGTAAAAAGATTGGAACTTGCATTATCGAGGCAAGAAGATAACAAGAATAAGTTAGTAGATACCCGCAACTTCGTTAGTAGTTTACAGCGCTAAGTGCCCAAGCTTTGTTTCGACAGTGGCGCGAGCCTACGTGGACCTACTTCCAAACGCTGAACAGACAGCGCCAGAGGAAGAGTCGGCGCCAGCAGTTGTATGCATAGATGTATGGCAAAAAGATAGCAAGTTGAGTTCTAAATATTACCGGATGTTGCGTGGGGGACTTTTTAGGAGCGCCGGGAAAAAACCAATGCCGCGCCCCGAAATTCTTACAGGATTGCACCCGCCGGCCAGGCTGCGGCACCGGCTTCGCGGGCGTAGTACGATACTAGACGGGTCGAAACGCGTTCAGAAGTGATGGGCTGAGGCGTCCACTTCGTGCGTGCAGCTAATTACGCATCAAGGGGTGCAGACCACGTCCCAAAGCGAACAGCCGAGGCGGCCACTCCGTGCGCCTAAACAGGTATCGAGAGGGGCAGGCCGCGTGCTAGAGCAAACAGCCGGGGCGGCCACTTCATGCGTGTGCGGAGGTATCAAGAGGGGCAAACCGCGCCGCAGAATGAACAGGCGGGGCGGCCACTCTCTGCGCGCAAAGGGTAGCAAGGGGGCCCAGCTGCGTCCTGAAGTGAGCGGTCGACGTGGCCACCTTGTGGGCGCGATTAGGTAGATTGCTCCTCTGTGAGAGGTTTGGCGCGGAGCTTCTCCTTGTTTGTGCCTTGCTGTGCTTGTTTCGTCGTCTCACAGATACCTCACAGAGGACACGACAAAACCATCAGCCCAAGGCACGAACCGCAAAGAGCCCTGCGCCAAACACCTCACAGAGGAGACGACAAAGCAATCAGCCTAAGGCACGAGCCGCAAAGAGCCTTGCGCCAAACACCTCACAGAGGAGACGACAAAACAATCAGCCTAAGGCACGAACCGC